GAGGGAGGGAGGGAGGGAGGGAGAGAGAGAGAGAGAGAGAGAGAGAGAGAGAGAGAGAGAGAGAGATGCATAAATATACAAATAGAAATTTTAAATTAGAATGGACATTTTAAATCATACTTTCCAACAACAATAAAGAAATTCAAAGGTTTTTTCTTTACTCTGCTTTCTAAATGCAGAATTTCTCTACTGGTAGGTAGACACTGGAGGAAAACATGGGTAACCACAGCTACTCACAAGTCACTGGTGTGGCATGGGTAGGGAGCTGCCTGTGCCTGTGTAGTTGGCTCCAGGGATTCCTGCCCAGTCTGGACCACAATGATGGCTCTCTCGATCATGTCTTGCAGTGGGACAAAAATGTAGTTATATCTGAACCCATTGGCTGGTAGATTCTGAGGATGAAACTTCCAGAAAGGATTTTTTATCATGTCTGTCCTCATGCTGTATAAGACATTGGTCCGGATTGTATATGTGACATGGGGTGGCAATTTGTGACGTGCTGATCTAATGTGTCTGTGTCCCAAAGAACTGTTGAATATAATACCTGGTAGCAGGAAAAAAAAAGTGTCATACATCTCATATGGGCAGGGCCTGGGATGCTGCACAGTCTTCCACTCCTGTAGTACGTGAATGCAATCCCAGAAAGACAAGCAAACAGGCTACTCTGTTCCACAGGCAACTGAAGCAAGACCCTGTAATTCACAGTCCAAGGCACCTTCCCAGCTTTACAAAAGACAATATTGTCTTAGCACAAACACAAAGGCCGAGCGGTGGTGGTGCACGCCTTTAATCCCAGCACTTGGGAGGCAGAGGCAGGTGGATTTCTGAGTTCGAGGCCAGCCTGGTCTACAGAGTGAGTTCCAGGACAGCCAGGGCTATACAGAGAAGCCCTGTCTCGAAAAAAAAAAAAAAAGCACAAACACAAAGACTTTATTCATTTCACATTTTGAATAGACTTGAAAAATTACTCAGAGCAGATCAGGTATTCTCTCCCTAGGACCACAAGTCCAGCTGGCTGCATAGACTATGTATCTTTGGATACTTGTCATTTGTAGTTTAAATATAGGATGCTATTCTCTGCTACACAGATTCTCTGCAATTAATCCAGAAAGATTATTATAAGCTGAGTTGTGTTCTCCCAAAATTCAAACCCCTGGAGGTTATCATCGTCTGAATGTCTGTGTGTGCCTCTGTGTGAGTGCCTGTGTGTGTGTGCCTCTGTGTGTGTGCCTCTGTGTGTGTGCTGTGTACGTATGTATATGTGTGTGTGGTTAATATGTCTCTGTGTGTATGTGTGTGTATGTATGTCTGGTTAATATATGTCTCTGTGTGTGTGAATGTGTGTATATGTCTAGTTAATATATGTTATGGTGGGGTGCTGTGTGGGTATGTAAGCTTAATATATGTCTTTTGTGTATATGTATATGGTGCACTCTCTGTGTGCATATCTGGTTACCATATGTGTTTGTGTATGCATGTGTATTACTGTTTGTGTGTGTCTAGTTAATGTATGCATTCATATATATGCATGCTTGTGTGTGTATGTGTGTGTGTGTATGTCTTTTTCCACTATCATTCTCCTATTCCTTTGAGACAGAGTTTCTCACTGAACCTGAAGCTAGGCTGGTAGTCAAAACGCCTTAGCAATGCTGTCTTTGCTGAAATAACACTGGGTTTGGTCTTGTATATGTAGCCACAGCTCGTCTATTTGTTTGTTTGTTTGTTTGTTTGTTTGTTTAACACTGGTACCATGGATTTCAACTTAAGTTCTCAAGTTTGCACAACAATAATCTCTTATCCACAGAGCCACCTGTCTCCTACAAGATTGTACCTTGAAAGGTGTTGTCATGTTAAAAGGATGCTGGCAGAGTAGGCCTTAATTCAACATGATTGCATTCTTATGAAACGGGAACATTTGGCAGATATGTGCATAGATTATATAAAGAAATTTCAGGAGGAGACATGTATCAATAAACCAACACATGCCCATAGAAGATTCTTCCCTAACAGCCATCCAAGGAAACCAATGGACACCTTGATTTTAGACTTCTAGCCTATAGAACTATAATGTAACAAGTGTCTGTTGGATTTCCAGGCTAAACTTGGTAGTAGTTTGCTACAGCATCCCTGCATCCCTAGCAAACTCATCTCAAACCCCAATAAACTGTATGGAGTTGGACATACAATCTAGCAATGGTCCATGTACTGAGTTTGCACAAGATCGTGGCTTAAATCCTTAGCACCACACAGCAACAAAAGTAATAATCCCGTGTTTGCTCAAAAAGTATATAAGAATGCATCACATTTATGCTGGCTAGATGAACAACTGATAATGGAATCTAACTGGCCATTGTCATTTTTCTTTCCTACTTCAGAGCATGAAGATCAGGTGGTAAAAATAAATGTGATGGAGAAAGTTTAAGTACACTGCTTCTCATGTGAAATTTCACTATAAAATGAAGTTAAAACAGTAAAATCAGACATAGCAGGTAGTGGTGCCCTTGGGATTGTGAACAGTTGCCAGTCATTACAGCACTAGGAACATCTATTCACTAGCTCAGTGCATATACCTCTGTTCCATTTTATGATTATCTAGAAGACTTCTTCCTGAGTCAACTTAAGAAGCACTTAGGGAGATGAGACAAACTGACCACCTATCGGCGCTAGTGCACTAGTGAGCACATTTTTTTTCTGCCAAGTACTTACTGGCCAAGAAACTATTCTGCTGCATGAGTTCGTGTGCCTTGGTCTCCAGGGCATCAACAGTCTCCACTGCTTGGAACCGGTCCAACACCACACAGGAAGAGAGATTGGCCAAGATACCACCCAAGAACTGAAAGTGTGCAGCCTCCACATGGTTAAACATCTTGTCCAGCATCTGTCCTGGAAACAGCAAACAAATTAGACCAAATCAACTTCTCTTTCACTCCAGTGCTCCAGTGGGTATCACACAAATGAATACAAAAATGAATGTGTTTCTTCATTTAAAAACGATCTCAAAAGATCTTTCTTATTCATACCAGTTTTATTCATACACGGAGTGAACTGTTTGCCAACAGCAAACTCTCTATTATATGTGTGCTTGCACGAATGCACACATGTGTCCTAATGATAATACATCAAATGGGAAAAAAATAAGAGAAATTACTGATGTTCATGAATGTTCTTACCTAATCAATAAATGAACTTTTGATGACTCTAGTTGGCAAAGGTAAAAAGTAGAGGACAAGTATTTGCAGGAAGTAGGTCCCCAAGGCATGTCCTTTTCCCTGACCTTTTCCTACATGACCTTTCTTCTACTTCTTGCTACTATTATTTAAGCTGTTGGGTGTTAGGGGTATTAAGCCACACTCCTCCTTTCAGGATGACTGACACCTCTGAAACTCTGAGCCAAAGGAATCATTCCTCCACTGGGCTGTTTGAACCACATTTTGTTACAACCAAACTTATATGATGTTTTTAACTCTAAATATAAGAATGGTATTAATGTTTAAACAGAGGTAAAAAATAAAATATTGCAGAAATGATCTCAAGAAACTTCTCTTAATTGTATAATTGAGTAGTAATCCTCAAACCTAAAGGCCCACAGAGGGAATTCTTTCTAAGAATAAAGGTCTACTTGTAATAAAAAAAAAATGTTTTCAGTAACAACAATTGGAAAGCATGAAAGATTTTTAGAAGTAAGGGCTAGGAAGATGGCTCAGGTACATTGCAAGCATGAGGACCTAAGTTTAGATCTTCAACAAATAGCTGAAAAGGAAGCTGGGTGTGGCCATGCAAACCTGTCACCCCAGTGTTGGTGGTAGGAAGATATGAAGCGGGGACAAGCAGGGCTAGGTCAGCCTAGCCAAAAAGCAGCCTGCCCCAGGTTCAGTGAGAGACTCTAACTCAAGGGAATAAGAAAGGAAGCAACAGTAGAGAATACCCAATGACCTTCTCCAGGCTCTGCACCTAAGAAGGGGCGCAGGCACCCCCATCACACACACACACACACACACACACACACACACACACACACACATGCATATGTACACACACATTAAATAAATAAGCATTTAAAAAATCTTTATTATGGATTCAAACAATAAACAAAGCAGGGAAAAAAGACTTGAAGATCTAAAATCTGAGATAAAAATGGGTACCCAGGAATTCTGCTATTGAGCATCAATAAGAATTAAGAAACTCAAAGGAGAAGAGATGTGATCACATGGTAGCTCACAACTGTCAGGAAACTTCAGCTCCAGGAGATCCTATGCCTTCTGACCTCCTGAAGCACCAGCCACACATGTGGTCTGCATACTCACATGCAGGCAAAATCCACTCAGATACATAAAACTATATTTTTAATAAATTATATATGCTAATTGTCCAGAAGTCCCATGGGGTTAGACTTTACAGGCTTTCAAGAATGTGGACTCTAGTAAACATCCATTTTTCAATTCAAACCCTTCCCTACTCCAGTGGGGCTACACCTCAGGGGAAGTAGAAAAATGGACATCAGGCCCCAATGGGATTAAGAAAAGGTGACCCCACCACAGTTCTCTGCTCAAATCAAGCAAATGAATGACCTACTGAAGACAGCGCCACTTGATGGGTATAAATTCTTTATTACAACTACTTTTCACTATTAAATGTCTGGTCATCCATGAAAATACTTAATATTCATTAGAGATAAAGCAGAATAACAAAAATTTGAAAGGAAAAACAAAGACCAACAAAGACAAACAGCATAGTTAATAGCAGAGTTTTAAAACATAATCAGGCCCAATTATGCTGAAAATAGAGAGGCTTTCAATTAAAAAAAAAGCTAGGAACTATGCAAAAAGATAAAATGAAAAATAAAACAATTGAAATAAATTTATTGGAGATGAAACTTAGCTAATGAAAATCAGCAGGAAAAAATCACAAAGTAAAACAGACAGCTCCAATAAAACCACAAGTGAAAAATTTCACATCATGAAATTTGGTTTCATATTGAAAATTCCTGTGTAAAATTATCTTCAGTCCGATGTGTAGTAACTACAAGAATTTTGTATGTAGATTTGGGTCTCATCTTTAAACTATTCCCGTAAATGTATACAAAGCTTCCCAAATCTGAAACTCTTGTGTCACAAGCATTTTAAGTAAAAGATATTCAACCTAACCTTACTACTTTTGTGAATAGAACATTCACCAGTATTTTTTCAATAAATTAAGTATTGTGCCTAATGAAATGTTTTTCTTTCTCTAGCCTTTCTTCTGTAATCAAAGACCTGAAGATATAAACAAACTTTGTGGTGTATCTACTTCAAGCCCTTAAGGTCCAATTAGTGGAACAGAAATGGGGAGGGTAAAGGTAAATTTGATGTTACAAGCAACTGCATGGCCAATGGGTAGGATCAGTCAGCACAACCCCAGACAGGTAAATCCAAGGCAACCCGTCAGCATCCTTACCATACATCTGCAGATCTTCAGTTAGCTTGTCCATGTCAATATGCAACTGGCTCTCTACAAAGTTTCTTATAAATTTGTTTCTCAGGGCATCCTAAAGGAAAACATGAAGCTTAACAAAAATGATTACATCATACCTTCTCACTCAATAATACTTATTAAACTTACTCAAAGTTTTATGACACATGAAAAAGAAACATAAAATGGATCCACTTTTAAAAAAAAAAAGTTTAAGATATGCCTTGGGTAGTTGTCAACTTGACAGAGAAATTACTGGAGAAAAGGAACTCACAGCTGGAAAAAGGGTCCTACCAGATTGGCCTATGGCAAGTCTTTGAGGTATTTTCTTGATCTATGACCAATATGCTAAGGCCTAGCTCCCTGTCTTTAGTGTCATCCCTGTGCTAGTGGTCCTGAGATGTATAAAAATAAGCAGGCTGAGCAAGCCACAAGTGCAAGCAAGTAAGCAATATCCCTCCACGACTTCTGCTTCAGTTCCTGCCTCTGGGCTCCTGCCTGGACTTCCTTCAATGATGAACCATGATTTGGAAATGTAATTGAAATAAACTCTATCTTTCCTAAGTTGCTTTTGTTCATGGTATTTTATCACAGCAATGGAATCCCTGAGACAAGGAATTATAATAATAATAAAAATGTCAAGATTTGATACAGTCTTGAACCATGAAAAAATAAAGATGATTATAAATATTATAATTGCAATGATGTTCTAACACTGAAAATTAGTAGACCTGAGCAAATTTTCCTAATGAAGCCACAGAGCTATCTTTTATTTTCCATGATTCCTCCTCTGAATCACATTTGTGCAAGTCTGCTAACTGCAGAGAAGGAGTGGTCACAGAGGATTCCAGCCTTTCTGGGACCCTTTCTTGAGGCTAATGTACAAAGCTGTGCCTTCAAAAGTAGCTGATGCTTTGTTTTCCGCTCGATGCTTTAATGTTACCTCACCTGTCAATGGTTTTGCTCTGGAGAGTTCTCCAAAATCAATCTGACTTCCTAAAATTCTGCAATTTGGTTTTGCAATGGGAGTGTGTATACTTGAAACAGATTACCATACCCAACAACCATCAAGAAAGCTACAGGTACAGTAGGTCTGTATGGCAGACTTAAGATGTATAGGAGTCATAAAATTTGCTAGTTCTGGAAGGGTGAGATGGCTCAGCAGTTAAAGGCTATTGCTGTCAAGCCTAATGACCTGAGTTCGAGTCCCTGGTCCCACATAGTGGAAAGAGTATACACATGCACATCTATACCTAAATATACCTAAATATGTTTTTTTTTAAAAAAAAAAAGACTTTCTAGTTTGTTAATGGATAATGCTAGTTATCTATGCTTTAGTCTAGAACTGCAACACATTGGGCCTTTTCACGTGATCTGTTCCTTCTGCACATAAACTCCATGTCTACTCACCCCTGCCTTGCCCTTTATTGGTTTTATCTAGTCACATCTATGGAGAAAAGACTGTATTATGAAGTCTGGCTGCTTGCTCTCCCTTAAATCTTATCTATCTTCCTTCACTGGGCATTAGCTGTCTGCCAGACAGTGTGCAGGGTACTTTATTACACATTAGTTCATTTAATTTCAGAGAATTCCCTAGGGGAAATTACCGCTGCCTTTTACTGGAAGGAAAATAAACTGGAGAACAGATGGGGCACCACCCAAAAGCAATAAGGACACCATCTAGTGGTAGAGCTAGGCTTGGACTTCACTACAGACACTGAGCTTTCCACACCAACAAGAGGCCACTGAGAAGAAGTAACCTGTGACCACACAGCCTGAGTAAGGTAAAAGTTCTGTCAGGCTGAATGAGTGACTTTGATTTCTGACATTTGTTCTTGTCTTATCTTGGGACATCAGGCTCCTCTTCAAGTTCTAGTGGCTCTCAGTACATTATTGCCTTACTGATTACAAACACAGGATGTTAGTATTTGTAGCTACAACAAAGATCTTATAAAACCTAAAGCATCTTCTATCAGGTCCATTACAGAAGCAGTTGATAAGATCCATGTTAACAAAGGAATCCATGGACAAACCAATTAAAGAAGAATAGTACCACAGCACTAGATGCTGTGTCTGTGAAGCTGCAGGGCTGACAGACTAGAGCCTTGCCTTGTGTCTGTCTCCTTGTTTTGTGTCAGATGTGTACCATCATCACATGCCCTTACCTCTGCTCTGTCCCAGAACACCCTGCCCCTTCTTTTGCTTTAGCAGCAGTTTCTTGTTGCAAAATTATTTTTCAAATTACTACTTCTTATTCTGTGAAAGTTTCATACATTTAAACAATGTCTATAGATCAGATCCATCCAACTCCCCCTAGCATTCCCTGTCCCATCTCTTTTCTCTCTGAATCTAACAGTTTTAATGTGATTTTTGTTATAATTAACCCCCTGAGTCCAGTTAGTGCTCCCATGTGCATGTGTGTGTATAGCCACCCACTAGGGCATGAGCAATCTACCAACAGCCACATTCCCAAGGGATGGAGACCATCTGTTCTTAGAGAACCTAGAACCACCCAACATCTTTGCATACCAGGCCGATCTTCAAAGCTCAGCTATCTTACACTCAAAGATGTTATCATTTTCTTATTCACAAGTAAGAAGCCTAGACAGTGACAAAGTGACAATCACATGGCTAGTGTAAGCATGAGAGAATAGAATCGTAGCTACCTGTTGTGGCTCCTAAGTCCATGACATGAAATATTTGTCCAGTGGGTATCATATAATTCAAACATGAACAAAATGTGGGACAATTTTCTCATACTACCACGTTTTCAAGTTATGATTTCACAAATGCCTAAAAGTTATTAGGTGACCTGCCTGAGCTATCATTTTATAAGTAATGGCTCTTGGGGTCTAAAGAAATGGGCCTGTTTAAAGCCTTGATTTGTCAATATTAGAGATTTTAATCTTTAGTCACATGTATTAATTACAGATAATAATGGGTTTCATCATGAAACCTCCATATACATACACATTAAGTCTGATTATATTCATGCCCTCCTCCCTTCTCATAGTCACATCCGACTCCTACTGAGCTCATCCTTCCTAGCTAGTCCTCTTTCTGGTTTTGTCTACTATTTTGGTTTCAGTTTCTTTTTCTGTTTTGGGTAACCTGTACAGTATTTAGAAATGATACCATAGTAAACGTACAACTGAAAAGTATGTAAACTATTTTAAAAGCATTAAATTTAATAATTTAAATGACCAATATTAGTAAATTATTAATTTTACATAATGCCTATTTGCATGGGGAAAGCACTAAAAATTCATGATGGCTTTTAAGCACATTCAACTGTTAAAAACTTTCCTAGTCAACTAGAGGACTCATACATGCTTCAGACTAGCTAAATTTTCCATAGGAACACCCATTATCTCAGCCAAATTACAACAGGAAATTCCCAGCCCTAGGTCACTACCTCAGTCACATACCTGCAACTGGTTGAACATTTGGCCTTTTCCACTTCCCTGGAAAAGGCTGGATATCTTCAGAAATGTTTTCAATAAAATGTTTATCTTATCCACAAAGTAAAATGTATAATTAGCCTGCAATGTGAAGCACATGAAGATATGTCTTTAATTGCTGTGTCAAGCTAGAACAAGGTAGCAAACATCACAGTGGCATGGTCATCCCAGGATCAGACATTCACATGAAAGTATCCAGTGCTCTCTAAGGAGACCTGTCCTCTGGATCTTTCCATTGCATATTGCCTAATATTTGCCACTGTATTCCCAGGGCTAGGCCCTGTGGCATGCAGAGAAAATATCCTCATACATACTAACTAAGTAAAATACATTTACACACATCTCCAGTTACTCCAAAATATGTCCTCAACTAATAGCTTTATGTTTCTTTTCCAACACCAGTAGAGATTAAATGTTATTCCTTTATTGCTGCTGGCAAAGTGCAGTCATACACAGTTTTTCAAAAATAATTTGATGTTGTAAAATTATGCACAGTCACAAGCCCATAAAAATGTTCATACCTTATTCCTCTTGGAATAAAAAAAATCTATCCTAGGAAATAGCTTAAATAAATAAAAAGTTGTATCCAAAGAGATGACAGTTGCAACAATTATATTTAATATTAAAAATGTTCTTCCATAATATCAAAAAAGGAATAAGGAAGGAGAATTTGAGAGTCTGGTCATTTCTCCCAAGGGTCACTGGGAGCCTCTCTCTCAGGAGCATGGGAAATAAAGAGCACTCACTACAGCTAACAAAAGAAACTGCAAACACTTAATTTTAGTATTCAGGAAAAGCAAGTGCAGTATTGTAACCACTAAGCTAAATGAATAGATTGATGCTTTGGCAGGAGACAGAGTAGACACCAAATTTTCACCATGCTGTTTAAAAAAATCACACAACCACAAACAGGTTGAAGACATTATAAATGCAATAATTTAGAGCGTTACAAAAGCTCTTAACTCTGATATAGGGAATACCTGCAGGCACATATAAATCCAAGACTGTGTGAATATACATAGATATAAATAAAGTAATATCAGATTCAGTAAGTCAAGATACCCTAACTTATTTTACATATGCACACCCTGACCTTCCACAGCCCAAGAATTTACTACAAATTCACTGCAAAGAGCATGTTGTTTAAATGTGTATTATTAATTTTTAATCAAAAGTTCATGGAAATAATTTTGAAATTTAAAACTTTATCATTAATCATATTTCCTTAAGTTTTAAGAGTGCGTTGTGTGGAGCAGACGGCGAGTGTCATGGCGGCCGCCAGTCTCCGTGGGGCTTCCCCGGTGTGGGCTCGCTGACATCCTCCCTCCGGCGCTCAGGTCCCTGGGCAACCTGGAGAATTCTTTATCCAGGAATATGCCAAGAAGCCAATAGGCAAGGTCGGCAAGGACAGCAGGCCCTGAAGGATCCCCGAGAAGTGCACAGACCCCATTCAGCTCACCACACACACCATGGGAGTCAACATCTACAAGGAAGGCCAGGACGTGGCCCTGAAGCCAGACTCTGAGTACCCCATATGGTGAACTTGGGTCCCCCCCAAAAAGCCAGAGGAACTAGAACAGAAGTCCCAAGAATACTGGTGACTGCTTCACAAACAGAATATCTGGTGTCACAACCGGCTGAGCAAGAACAAGAAGTTGTAGTGTGAGGATGGGCACCTCACTGGAGACTGCCTGGGCCTGTGGCCAGCCAGCCAGGAGAGAACTGAGTCTTGTAAAGTATCCTCTGACCTTCATATGCTCACCATGGCATGAAGGTCTCTCTCTCACACACACACACACACACACACACACACACACACACACTAAATAATCAAATATGAAAATAAAGGGATCTATGACAGTTTTTTTAAAAAGTGTGTTGGGTAAATTACCCAATAGAAATTAGAATACCATTAGTTATCAAAATGTACTGGGTATAACTGAAGTTCAGATCCAAATACACTTGTTATTAAACTGAAAAGTAAAAGGTAATCATGTATTTAAAACATTAATAAAATAATAAGACCAGCAGGTGGTATTCTTGCTTGTCCCGAGCCTATTGGCTTTTACAGTATACAAAAACTTTTCTAATTTGAAAGAGCACAATGTGGGTCAAGGAGGTATATAGGAAGGTTTGGAAGGAGGGAATGGAAGGAGAGAAATGACATATTATAATTTCAATAAGTAAATGATTTAAAATATATATAAGTAAAAAACATAAAAAATGTCTAAGGAAAGAAGAAGGAAGAGATTAATCAAGATAAATGTAAAACATAAATGATTTACAAAAGCAGAAGAGAGATTCCTCTGTATAAAATAACAAAATGTTTATCTCTGGGAAGCTCAGTTCTCAGTTATTTAATATTTACTGAACTACTAGGATTCATTTAAATCATTTAATACACAATAAATATTGAATTCTAGTTTGCTTTCTGTTGCTATCATTAACACCATGAACAAAAGCTACTTGAGGAGGTAGAGGTTTATTTGGCTTATAGATTACAGTTCTTCTCCAAGGGAAGCCTGGGCAAGAATTAGAGATCACAGAAGAACACTTACTGGCTTGTTTCCTCCAGCTTGCTCAGTTACCTGTCTTCTATAGTCCAGGCCCAACTGAGTTAGAATGGCACCGTCCACAGTGGGTTGGACCCTCAGATCAATAACAACTAAGAAAATATTCCATTGGCACAGACCAATCTGACCTAGGCAGTTCCTCAATGGAGAATATACTCTGAGTTATATGAGACTGACAACTGAAACTAACAGTGACATATTGACAAATATAATTTTAAAGTTCAGAATAATTTATATATAATAATATCGGCAAAGCTATCAAATGTAAAAATTCCTTATAACACATATTGATGTATGATGTTTGTTTTTATGTTTTGATAAGACAGATGTTAAAAACAAAATGAAAAATTACCAAGAAGCTGTAGGAAATCTCTAACTTCAAACCATGTGCTGGTTGTATTGATGGAAAGCATCTGAAACCAGTAACCAATCAGATGAGATTCTCTATCTCCAAGAACATGATATTCAAATATTATGAGTTTAAAGGGGGGAGTAGAAAAACATTCAATTAAAAAATCCTTGTCTCATAAGTGTAAGGACCAGCGTTTTGATCCCCAGAACCCATGTAAACAACAGGGTATGGGAACACGCACCTGAAACTTCATCAGTTGTGGTACAGAAACATGAGCACCCCTAGGGCATGCTGGGCAGCCAAACCAGTAAAATAAATGAGCTCCAAGTTCAATGATAGCTTGAATCAGACCTAAGTGGGGACATTTTGATTGTAGGACATAGAGAAATCAATCTTACACTGACAAGACACATCATTACTGCTGTTGGTTTCAGTATTAGAAGTTGCTATATAGGCTTCTGGGGACTCAGATACAGCAGCAGTCTTACTCACTCCTGGACTCTGTGTGTGTTATAATACCTGTCAGGCAAATACTACTACTATACTACACTGTATATTATGTGTATGTTATTATACCAATTCTACCCACTACCATAATACTGATGTTACTATTACAGGTCAATCATGCTTTCTGTTCCAATTTGAGGTTAACTCTACAGAAGGGAGTCTCTATCTGGTATGGTAAATCTGGTCCAAAGTCCACAGTCATGAAGGTGATAGGCACTAGTGGGGAACCTATAATTCTTATTTTACTAAATGTGCATGCTATCAAATTGCCATCTAACATCCACGTTTATACTCCTAGATCTGTGGGATTCACAGGCTTGGTCAGAGAAGCTACCTTTTGCAGTGGGGAGCAGCGAATGCAGACTCATACATGGTGAACATGCTGAGACTAAGTGCCTGTGAGTGCTCATCCCTAAACATCAAGGAGACATCATGAGAGAGGGGAGGGGAGAGAATGTAAGAGCTGAAGGGTGGGGAAAGATGCTGTGTAGTGCTATCTACTGGACATGACAGGGCTGGTGCACAGGAACTCAGAGCCACAGCAGTTATAAACAAGTAACTTAGATGTCACATCATCTGATCAAAGGTGTTAAAGAAACAAAGAACAATGTCAACTGAAGGCTGTGTCCCATATGTTACTAGGGAATATTAGTCAGCAATAAAAATGAATGAATTACTGCACATAAAATTTTTGAGAATTATGCTAGATAAAATTAAGCCAATCCCTGGCACTTACATATTACATTAAGGAGGTAGTAACCTTTTTAACAATCTAGAAGTAACAAAGAGATAATCCCAGGGACCTTGCAATGATGGGATGATTGTATCTCCAACCTGAGGTAGATACATGGATCCACATGGCTATGACTTTCAAAAAAACAAATACTCATAGACAGACACAAATACAAGCAGAAGGGAAACTGGGAGAAATAAGTAAGATAGTGAATCTCAGCAAAATTCAGTAAAGGGGCGTGGAACTCTCCTGTCACTCCTGACAGTGCACATAAACACACAATGAGCTCAAAGTCTAAGGTTAATTTTTGTACAGATTCAGAAGCGCAATGGCAATTGCCTACTGAAGAAAGAGGGACCAGAACAGGAGAAAGAGAGAAACAGGGGAAGGACATGAGAATGGGACAGACAGACACACACACACACACACACACACACACATACACACGCACACACACATACACAGGAAGAGAGAGAAAAAGGAGGGAGGGAGGGAGGGAGGGAGAGAGGGAGGGAGGGAGAGAGAGAGACAAAGAGAGAGAGAGAGAGAGAGAGAGAGAGAGAGAGAGAGAGAGAGAGAATGAAGCCTAACTAATTTAAAAAGGAAATAAAGAAATTGTAGGGGTAGAGTAAACAGATGAGATAATTTGAGAAGAAAGAAAAGACAAAGAAACATAAAAAAGAAAGAAACAGGAAGAAAGGAAAGAAAGAGAGAAAGAAAGAAAGAAAGAAAGAAAGAAAGAAAGAAAGAAAGAAGGAAGGAAGGAAGGAAAGGAAGAAAGGAAGGAAGAAAGGAAGAACGAGGAATGTAATAAGAGAAAGGGAAAGAAGAGACTGTCTGCAATGGAATAAAATTCAGCAAATAAGATACAGCTCTGAGCTTATATTTTTCTTTGCTGTACCTAGTACTTTCCTAT